TTCCGTTTTATGAATGAGCTCTTGGCTGAGCATCAGCCCCCCACTTCTCTCCCTGAAGAGCAGGATGTGAATCCCATTTCTTTAGGGAAATACATTACACCGCTGTTCTGACTTCCATCAGAAGCAAGCCTGCTTCCCCACGGGGACAAGCCATTTGCTTCGTTTCTGTCACAATAAATTATGTCGATTCAGGTGGGGTAACCGTGTCGGTCTGAAGCAGCAGAACAAAGTTGGAGTTGCCATGGGACTCAGACTTCGTTCCAATAAATTGTGCATTTTCTTGTGATGCATTTCTCGTGATTTCACGGTCCGCTGTGGGCTCCCTCTACTGGTTTAAGACTGCAGCGTGGCCACGGAGCCTTGCAAATAAGAAGTGGATTAATGTTGTTGTTCGGTCGCACAGTCGAGTCCAACTCTTCGCGACCCCATGGACCAGATCCCGCCAGGCCTTCCGGTCTTCCGCCATCCTCTGAAGTTGGCTCAATTTCATGTTCGTTGCATCTGTGACACTGTCTAACCATTTCATCCTTTGCCGCCCCCGTCTTCTTTGACCTTCAGTCTTTCCCAGCATCAGGGTCTTCTCCAGTGAGTGCTCCCTTCTCATTGGGTGGCCAAAGTATTTGAGCTTCAGTTTCATTATCTGGCCTTCCAGGGAACAGTCAGGGTTGATTTCTTTTAGGATTGACTGATTGGATCTCCTGGCAGTCCAAGGGACTGTCTTCATTTAATTAATAGGCATGACCAAAAGCTCCATTTTTACCATCGGTGCCCAGCTGCAACATCTGCCTACCAAAGCTTGGAGGCTGTTAATAATTTCATCAGGAACCCCAAAACAGCATCTGGCAAAGATGAAACGTTGCCAAGGGATGCCCTGGAACTGCACTTTTTGTGACTCTCCTGTTATGAAGGCTTCATCCATCACATGTGACAAGCAGATCTGTGTCATCCAAAGTAAAAGTCTGCACTTAATAAGAAACCGGGCCTTTGGGTATAACGGAAGGTCGTCACGTAATCGACGCAAAGCCGTTCAGCCAAGATTTGCAAGATGAAAAGTGGCACAGGCTCTTGTAAATGGGGGAAATAGAATTCTGCTTCTTCAGGGAAGAAGCACACGCCGTGCCAGGTACAATGATTACACACCTGAAACGGCCTTATAGTAAATCAGATCCTTGGTCGGTAAAGGTCACCATTGTCTACTCAGACTGCCACCTGCTCTTTTGGCAGAGGTCTTGCACATCAACAGCTACCTGATCTTTATACCTAGAAATGCCAGGGATTGAACCTGAGACCTTCTGCATGCCAAGCAGATCCTCTGCCACTGAGCCACGGCCCCTCTCCGATGCCCGGGCTCTCCCCAGCCTAATGCACTGCAAAACAGTAAACTGTTCTCCCTTTTCTGCTGTGTGCTCTTGTGATTAATTCCTAGCAAAATGCAATGTGTTCAATTTATAGTATTCCTGAAGTCAAGGGCAAATGTTAATTTTAACTACATATCCTATTCTCTCCAACCGTCACAAAATAATACTCCTCCTTTGGGCAAATCACGTTGGCTTTAATACACTCCCCCAAAACCTGAACGCAAACAACAAAAAGAACAACTCTATACGAGCATGGTGCTGGAGAAGACTCTTGAGAGTCCCTTGGACTGCAAGAAGATCAAATCAGTCAATCCTAAAAGAAATCAACCCTGACTGTTCCCTGGAAGGCCAGAGACTGAAACTGAAGTTCAAATACTTTGGCCACCCAATGAGAAGGGAGCCCTCACTGGAGAAGACCCTGATGCTGGGAAAGATTGAAGGTCAAAGAAGACGGGGACGGCAAAGGATGAGATGGTTAGACAGTGTCATAGATGCAACAAACATGAAGTTGAGCAAACTTCAGAGGACGGCAGAAGACCGGAAGGTCTGGCGTGATCTGGTCCATGGGGTCGCGAAGAGTTGGACTCGACTGTGCGACTGAACAACAAATACAGAGCATTTCTCACCCTGTTTATTGGGAAAGTTGGTAATTAGTCACTCTTTTTCCGGCAAGGGGAATTTTACAACTCCAAGTGCTCCAAACAAGACCTAGACAGTTAACAGCTGGCCTGTTCTCGAGTAGCCAAAAGCCTGAATAAGCTACAAAGGATTTTCTTTATAACAAATGCCCTAAGGGTACCGCACAGCTTCTGAAGTATGGATTACATTATTTTGGAAAATGAGCATGGTCAGCTCAGTCTATATACGGCCAATTTATACAACGGCAAGTGGCACTTCTCTGCCAGACATTACTAAGTACGTGTTGATAAATGCACTTATCCTTTTTTTTCATTTCAGATTTAACATACAGCATTCTACAGATCTCGTGGGAGGATACTGAAATATACCACGCCGGAAAGACACCAGTTCCAAGTCGCAACTCCCAAAAAACAACAGTCATACTGGGATGGATCCAATCACCCTCCAAGGAGACGACCCCCAGGCTAAGGAGACCCCCTCCAACAGAAGAGGCACCTATTTTAGAAGAAGGCTCCTTAAGGCTAGGGGAAGGCGTCAACCTTTACCCAGTGGAGTTCAGTAGGACTGGGGCAGGATCCACACCCCTATCTTCTATCACCTACTTATCACAGATCAACCAAAACGGCGAACACAGTCCAGAAACAAAACGTCGGATCACGCTGGGTCGCACAGCAATGATGAACATAAATCAGATATGGAAGAAGAAAGGGACATCAGCCTAGCAACCGAATGCAAATTGGTCTGTGCCACTGTGTTCCCCGTAGCAACCTATGGCTGCGGAAGTTGGACCGTGAGCAAGCAAGACAGGAGCAGTGTTCCCTCTAAGCTGTGGAGTCTTGTGAGCAGAAATTCTACTTTGTGAGCTGCTGGCATTAATGCTGTGAGCGAGCGATTTGGCTGCTACATAAATTAGTTTGCTCTGGAGCCCTCCTTCCTGAGCTAAGGCAAAAATGTGTGAGCTGGAGGCTAAAAAAATGTGCGCTGGCTCACGCTAACTCAGCTTAGAGGGAACAAAATGGACAGGAGCAAAATCGACTTGTTTGGGCTGTGGTGCTGGAGAAGGCTCGGCGTGCTGGACTGGACGGGCCACCGGCCTGATCCAGCATGGCTTCTCTTATGTTCTTATTTATGTGTAGTGAGCACACCAGACCCCACCAGAGAAAAGGACATCACTGCCTTTCATACTGGTACCTAGCTCTCACTTCTCCGTTCATTTAGTCAAGTAACCCGTCATCTTGACCTTTCTGTCATGTATTTTTCTCAGTCCACTGATACTCATAGTACAACTACTATCATGTGGTGGGCAGTGTTCCCTTTAAGCTGAGTTAGTATGAGCTAGCGCACAGTTTTTTAGCCTCTGGCTCACACATTTTTGCCTTAGCTCAGGAAGGATGGCTCCAGAACAAACTAATTTATGCAGCAGCCAAATCTCCTGCTCACAGCTGTAATGCCAATAGCTCACAAAGTAGAATTTTTGCTCACAGGGCTCCATAGCTTAGAGGGAACATCGGTGGTGGGGCCCACAAATTTTTCAGAAATTAACAGCGGTCCTCATATTCTAACAGATTTGGAACCGCTGCATTACAGTACTGATTTTTCCCCTCCCATTTTTTACGTGTTCTATGCTGAGCATCTATTACCTATATGGGCAGTACTGAATGTCCAGAACAAAGAATTCACCCGCATTGTTTAAAGATCACCGCCTTCTGGGCCCACTTCACGGACCAGCAGTTTTAACCTGGTCACAACAACGGAGGTGATCATCGAATAAGGGCTGGTTTTGCCTTGGCTCTGAGTACAAAGCAAATGGATTTCATTGAAACGCAGCTGGTTGGATTAGCCCTGAGTAAATTTACCAGGGCTCGCAGTGCTGGTAATAAAGCTTTGTGGGACTCATTAGCTATTGTTATGGTTTTGTTTAAATTTCACGCTGTTTTGGTTACGGCCTCTGGCTAAGGCAAATACATCTGAACTTAACTAACTTGTTTAAATCAGCCAGACAAGATCTTTCTGTGGGTGGAAAGTCACCAAGCGTGGCCTTTTACAATGAAGCAGGATCCTTCCCACGCTAAGTGATATCAGGGGACCAAGATACGATGTTTTCTAAAGAAGAGAGGTGCTGCTACTGTGAAGCCTCCTGCGTTCAGAAGCCCTGCTGCTTTTTAATGCCAGCTTGCACAGAGGTAGATTGTCATTACGCATTGCAGAAGGAAATGCAGTTGGCATATGTTCAAGGACATGTCCGTGTGCCCAGGGTGGCTTTGGGTTTTCCAGGGCCAGCAGGCAACATGAGCAAGGAGGCCCTCTTAAATTTCCTCGTTGATAGAATGGAAAGTGGGCACACAAATGCTGAAGAACTGGCATTTCTTGAACACACAGCGGTGTGTCCTTCTTCTGTTGTCCTTTTGACGTAGTAATGGTTTTACGTCAAAACTGGTTTCGAGGTCCCTCAAAGTGATCAAGAGCATGTCTAAGCACAATGCTTCTGATGCACTTTAGTCATTCTTTGCAAGTGGATTTTGCCACTCCACACTGTAAGATCCAGTTGCAAAATGTGGATTGAAGGTGCATTACTTAGCATGTGTGGAAGTGCCTTTTAGTGTTCTCTGGGGCACGCTTCTCTCTGACACGGAGACCACCTAGGAGAGGTCAGCACTGGTTTCTAGTGGGCACGCTAACAGGCTTGGGTCTCAGAAAGTACCTGCCAGCCATGGGCCTGAGCTCCGGCATTGGGAGGGGGAGGTCTTTATGAATGTCCTGTGTTGTGCCGGGGGTTGGACTAGAGGACCCTGGGGGCTCCCTTCCAACTCTATGATCCTATCATTCGATGAATGTAGGACCCAAGGCTAAACCCACAAGTCCTAGGCTGAGTTCTGAAGAGGGGTTACAGATGTTTCAGTGTTCGTTTGTTTGCCTTTGAGTGAGTGCTACCATGTATTCGCGTCTAGTCTTATTGCAAATCCTGACACTTAAGTGACAGCACTGTTCTGGAACCACACTTACCAATGGATAGTTGACCGGCAGGGAGCAGGGCGTCACCACCTAAGAGGACAAAAAAAGGAATAGTTCAGCACGGGTTCCCCTTTGCACGTTTCTCTCCACTGGTCTCAACGTAACCTCTTGAGTAGGGCGATCAGAAGCTCATGGGATCTGTAGATACCCGAACTGCTCCAAATCAGGACAAAAAAAATATCCCTGATGTTTGAAAGCAGAGCCTTCGAATCCTATGACTTTGTTCTGGCATCACCCTACATGGTTTCCAGGGAGTGAGGAGGAACGGAAGACAGCGACAGCATCAGCAACGCGGGTGCAACAGTGATGTTGACTCTGGGATCATCCGAATGGCTCACCATTTCCACTTTCTGCCAATCGCTGTGCCATCTGATTGGCTTTGGGAGGGCTTCCTGATGCTATACAAGCCTGCTCTGCTGGCCTGAGAGACTCCCTTACTGACGTTGGGGAGGCACGGGAAAGCCCTTGCTTCCGTCCAGTGGCCCAAACAATGAAGTCAAGCCGTTGGGGAAGTCTGAAACCCTCCTTTCCATGTCCACCTCCACCCCCCTTTTTTTGATCAAGTAGCAATGTGCGCATAAGCGCCCTGGCGTTGTCAATCACCTTGGCCAAGTAGTCATTCTGGATCAGGAGTCCCCAGGGGAGTTGTTTCCGAGTGACAAATCCCCTCCCCAACCCCCTCTCTCCTGTTCCTGCATCAGAGCCTGAGAGCATCCCATGATTGGCACAAAGGTAAATGCACTGAAGTCAATGGGACTACTCTCATGTATATCTGCACTTTAACCCCCCCCCCCAATGTAGTGCACAAAAGAGAGGCGAAGGGAAGGACGCTGAGAGGGGTCAGAGTACTCGGCAGAAAGGTTGAGGCGCTGTCAAAAAGGAGCCAGAGCTTCGGATACATGCTTCTGCGCATGGGTGAAAGACCAAAAAAAAAGAATGTTGCGACAATCTGAATGATGGACCGTGGGGCGCGCCCGCAGTGAAGCCGGTTGAGGGTGGGACGTCTGATCAAAACTTCCCACAAATATTTAAACCATCGCAAACAGAGGTGCAGCCAGAGCGCACCAAACCTCCAGTGTGACCACTGCCTAGGTTTGCTTTGGAAAACCCAGTCAACCCGTATTTTCTCCCCAGAGAAGCAATATGCATAATTATCGTCCACAAATATTTGTTTATTTACTGCATTTATACCCGGCCTTTCTCTCCAATGAGGATCCCAAGATCTCCTCTCCTCCATTGCATTCCCAAGTAATCCTATACACTCCATGTGTTTCCCAGTAAAAAAAATTCACATAGCTGCTCACAGTGTTGCAGAAAAAAAAGAGATTTTTCTGCTCCAACCCTATTGGAAGAGGCACAGCCCGTGGCACACTGGTTTCCTTTTCCATCTCATGAGCTTGCCGCTGTCTCACAGTGTCTTTTGCAGACTAAACCAACAAGCCAAACATGTGGGAAATGTTACCTAAAATGTCATAAAAGACACCTGTCGCACTACACCTACTGATGCGGGAGCATACCAGGGAGGAGGCGCAAGGGAGGGTTCGCACTGTTGGCATAGGCGCAGCAATGCGGCTCGTTTGTGGCTTTTAGCGTGCACACTTCCGGGAAGCGGGATCAACACGCTCTCCAGTGTTTGCTACCGCTTTCACCTGGTATTTTTTAAACTCGGGAGGGAAGCGTTACAAGATGGGTTGAGTACGGCTGGTGACCGCCTGACAGCTGTGGTTGCGTGAAGCAGCCCCTTTAATCCATTTGTGAAACATGCCTCTATCGGGCCAAACTGCCAGTCTAAACTCGGCCTAAGATATGTGTGCTGAGATAGCAGAAGGCATAACAGTTGGCAGCTCTCTTTCTCTCTTAGCATTGCAGAAAAGAGCAAGGGTCCAGCAGCACCTTCAAGACTAACAAAATTTGTGGCAGAGTAGGAGCTTTCGTGAGTCACGGCTCACTTCTCTTAGCATTGGGTATATTCACCATCTGATTGTAGAAAACTATGGCCAGTTATACTTTCAAATTTCAGATTGATTTATACTCTTATGTAGGGGTCATTTCCTGCAGGAGCACACAGGAGTGGAGCTCCAGCAATAAAGAGCCCAGGGGGCGGGCACATGCAACAAGCCCCACCCCCTGCAGCCCTCAGTCAGAGCAAGAAGCAGCCAGGTAAGTTGCAGAGCTCCCCCGGCTCCCCAGTCCAAAACAGTCCAGTGGCACCTTTAAGACCAAGGTTTATTCAGGTACAAGCTCTTCCTCCTCTGTGAGGCAGATCTGCACATCCCCCCCCCTCAATAGCTAGCAATTCTAAACAGTCCAGTGGAGCCTGAGCGGTGGGTGTTGCCTTCTGACACACTTCCGGTGATATCAGGGGGTGTGGCATATGCAAATAGGTTATGCTAATGAGTTATGCTAATGAGCTCCTGCACCTCTTTTTCTACGAAATGACCCCTGCTTATATATATTTCTTTTAATTTCAGATTCCTCTGTCTCCCTTCATCATTGTCTTTCCCGAGCAGGTGAAGACTTTTTGTTTGCCCCCCCTCCCTCGTTGGCCCTCATATGTCCATATAACAATTTACATACACATTCTAAATGCTGTATTAAGGGTCTTAATGCTTTGATGCTCACCAGCTTGGGGACAGTATTTGGATGGAAAGGCGGCACAGGACCGCTCTGAACAAAATAAATTAATATACCAAACAACATAATGGTACACGTAAAAGTAGTAAAATAAATTTAGGCTAGAGGAGAAAGTACTGCATCCATTTCAATTGTTCACAAAAACTTGTTTTTTCTCTTGAGGCGCCTGTTGTTCCCCCTCCCCAAAGAACACACGCCCGCCCCCCCGGCGCACACATGGCCAATGCGCCCTCTAAGCTGTGGAGCCTTGTGAGCAAAAATTCTTCTTTGCAAGCTACTGGCATTAAAGCTGTGAGCGAGCGGATTTGGCTACCGTATAAATTAGTTGGCTCTGGAGCCTTCCTTCCTGAGCTGAGACAAAAATGTGCGAGCCGGAGGCTAAAAGACTGTGAGCCAGCTCACACTAACTCAGCTTAGAGGGAACACTGCAAACACGGCTTCAAAATTCTCGGAATCACCTCCTTGCCATTGCTGGTCTCCTGCCCTGACTTGGATGGCCCAGGCTAGCCCGATCTCATCAGATCTCAGAAGCTAAGCAGAGTTGTTGGGTATTACAAGTTGAAAACACTCAGTATATCTGGACTCTCAGGAAGTCACATGTTTCTCATGTAGAAAGCCCTGGAATTTTCTCCCTGATCTAGGACTAAAGTGTCAAGGTATATTACCATTTTATGGCTTCTCTTCCTGTCTTTGTTTGGGAGGAGGAGGAGGAGGAGGAAGAGGAAGAGGAGGAGGAAGAGGAGGAGGAAGAGGAAGAGGAAGAGGAAGAGGAGGAAGAGGAAGAAGAAGAGGAAGAAGAGGAAGAAGAGGAAGAAGAGGAAGAAGAGGAAGAAGAGGAAGAAGAGGAAGAAGAGGAAGAAGAGGAAGAAGAGGAAGAGGAAGAGGAGGAGGAAGAGGAAGAGGAAGAGGAGGAAGAGGAAGAAGAAGAGGAAGAAGAGGAAGAAGAGGAAGAAGAGGAAGAGGAAGAGGAAGAGGAGGAAGAGGAGGAAGAGGAGGAAGAGGAAGAGGAGGAAGAGGAAGAAGAAGAGGAAGTGGACTATTTTATCTCTGCTAAATACCATTTTTTCAATATCTCACTATCACCCAACAAGAGTCAACCCTGGGGAGTATCTGGATGGGAGACGACCAAGGAAGCCCAGGGTTGCTACGCAGAGGCTGGCAATGCCGAACCACCTCTGCTCATCTCTTGCCTTGAAAACCCTGCGGGGTCCCCATAGATTGGTTGCGTCTTGATGGCACTTTCCTTCACCACCTCTAGTCTCCCCCCGTACAGAACACTGTTTATTCCAAAGTGCACTCATTTCACATGACGGGAAAAGTGTACCGTAGAATGTGCCCCATAATTCCCTGCAACACACACAACATACACTGTCCACCCAGTCCTAAACAGAGTGACACCCCCTTCCAAGCCCACTGACTTCAACAGACTCTGAAACACTGTGCCTCCGCTTAGGATGGCGCTATGCACCTCTCCTTACACAAAGTGTGGAAAGAACTGGCTTAAGTGCAAAAGCGTTAGACTATCAGGGCTCTTTTTGTAGAAAAAGCCCAGCAGGAACTCATTCGCATAATAGGCCACACCCAACAGCAGGAACTCATTAGCATATTAGGCCACACCCCTGACAGCACAGCTCATTAGCACATTAGGCCACACCCCCATGTTACCAGAAGAGTGGTTATCCAGCCACACCCACCTTTTGCTTGTTATTCTGTTTACCTTGTTTGTTGCTTTTTTGGAGCAGGAACTCCTTTGCATGTTAGGCCACACACCCCTAGTGTAGCCAATCCTAATGAGTTCCTGCTGTTGGGTGTGGCCTATTATGCTAATGAGTTCCTGGTGGGCGTGGCCAACTTGGGAGCCAGCCGGAACTCCGTTCCTGTGCGTTCCTGCCCAAAAATAGCCCTGGGTTAGTAAACACAATCACATTAGCCTAGCCAGCTTTTACAAACCTTATGACTACGAGAGCAAGCCTAAGCAGGTCTAACTCTGAATTCTATTACAGTCTATTCAATAGGGCTCACTCCCAGGAAAGTGTCCTTGGGATTGCGCTATACATTGTCCTTTACATTGAAATAAGTCTGATCCATTTTAATGGGACTGCGGTGTTGCAACACAGCGGTGGGGAAAGGAAACACGAGGGATTTGCCAGTATCTAAAGAGGTATCATGTGGTGGGGATGGGGAGGACATGTTTTCGGTCGTGTTGGACGACAGGACTGATACGAACTGCAGCAAAGGAAGAGGAGGAGGAGGAGAAGAAGATTGGATTTATACCCCACCCTTCACTCAGAGTCTCAAAGTGGCTTACAAACTCCCTTCCCCTCCCCACAACGGACACCCTGCGAGGTAGGTGCGGCTGAGAGAGCTCTTTCCAGAACTGCCCTTTCAAGGACAGC